AGAGAGAGAGAGAGATAGGGTTATTTCTAAATGTTATTTTCAATCTTTTAATTGACAGACACGGTGAATACCCAATATGTCATGTGTTGTTACTGTGAGAGAGAGAGAGAGAGAGAGAGAGAGAGAGATATATTTCTAAATGTTATTTTCAATCTTTTAATTGACAGACACGTGGAATACCCAATATGTCATGTGTTGTTACTGTTTGATAGATAGATAGATAGAGAGAGAGAGGGAGGGGGATGGATAGATAGATAGATAGATAGATAGAAGATATAACAGTTAAGTTTGATATTAGTGTGCAGGTTTGAGTATTTTATATATATCCATGTATTGCCCCTGTGTTGGTAGTGTTACAGTTTGGTGGACTGGAGAAAGATGTGTAGTTGTATGAGAACATGACCTTGCCTGAACTGTTAATGCACTCTGACAGTTGCACTCCGTTAAGAGGACATTTGCTCTCCGCTCTGGGCTGCAGGAACGTATGAAGACATTAGCCATGTTAACATGATAATTATCCTCCATCTGCTCCGGCCTGAGCGTCTGCTCCCCCGTTCTGGGTCAGCTCCTTCTCCTCTGGGGGGCTCTCACAGGTGGCAGCAGATTGGGTTTGTGTCTAATATGTAGTCTTTTAATGTAACTCTAGTATTCAAGGCTTTTATTTTCATGTGTACATAGCTGCAGTGTAGTTATGACAATGAAAATCTGAGGTCACAGGCTCCTCTAACAGTGCAACACAATAACACAGATGAAATAGTACAAGTAAATAAAATAAAATATAATATAATAACTCTGTCATCTTTGTAATAGCACTCTCTTTCATTTGCTTTATCCCTTTTATAAATATTCCTATGAATCAGATCAGATCACACTTTTATGAGTAACAGACCCCCAATTGTTTTTCTTGAATTATAGAATTCAGAGCAGAGAGCAGATTATGGGCTGTGCTGCGGATAAATCACTGTTTCATAGGATTTTTTTAAAATTCATGAATGCTTCTAGTCCTGTACACCTGGGGAAGAATTATTATAATATATCGACGACTTTAGATGAAACACAAGGATTGAACCCCTGGCTGTTCTTGCTTAAAGGGGACCTATCATGCAAAATGCACTTTTGTACGTCTTTTATACATGAATATGTGTCCCCGGTGTTCCAGGGAACTCACCAAGTGTCAGAAAACACAAGCCTCTCTCTTTTCCTCCATACCCAAATCTCTTAAAAAGGGGCTGCAACAGATCTGATACAGACTGATCCAGATTTGAACACTTCTATGACGTCACAGAAGTGGCGCTACGGCTATTGGGCCAACTCCACCAATCAGGAGGAGACAGCCACGGACATTGCCGTTCCAAAGCGCTGGAGACGCTGTAGTACATATGCCAGGCCTGTAGATAGTGCTGTTCTCACAGAATCAGCCCATGCAAAGACAGTGTTAAATTGAGTGAAATGAGGAATGGCTAAAATGCATGATCTGTTTGGTATTTTGAAAAATAAAAAGTATAAATATGTCTTATATAGGTATGGTCCTACACTATATTATTCAAATATAGCATGATAGGTCCACTTTAAGCTTCACCAGAACGTTTATTTTACATATTTCCTCGTAAATGTAAAAGCAAGCAAGAAATCCTTCGACTATGTTGGCAACACATCTCTTTTGCTTGAATGTGTAATCATACATTATTAAACAATAACGTTTTTTTTACATTTCTGCCAAGTTGAGTCTAGAGACTAACTTGATAACAAGAAATCTATCCTGCCTCGTCTTTCTTCTCAATGCACAGTTCGTGGAGTATATGTGTATTGCCTGAATGAATGTCACTAATACGAATTATTTGTTTATCTCGCCAGGAAACATCAACATCTTGATGGAGGAAACTAGAGGAGTCCCTTTAAGATGACACGCACAGACCCTCCTGACTTACTGGTATCAACTGTGCATCGAGATATTAAAGTGATCCCCTTTTCTAGACACTACAAGTCCTTGCAACCCTCCAAACAATGTGATTCTATAAACTACACACTGGAGGACAGTAAGAGCAAAGTCAATAAGAGGCACTGCCGTACCTTTGACTATAAGTCATTGGAGTACCCAAAATCAAACTCAATGGAGTCCCCTTACAAGAATACTGATAGGCATGCGGCCAACCCAGATGTTGCCTGGAATGCCTTGGGCCGTCAGCAGAGATACCGCTTCTCTGCTCCGGACATTTTCAGCCATAGGCTACCTCCTCAACCATTGGCTGCAGATATGCCCAGTGAAGTCATTGTCCCTGAACAAAAGAGAAGGACCAGGTCAAGAAGTGCCCCTCGGGTCCAGACCAGTCTCACCCCTGTGTCTTTTGAAGTGTCCTCCTCTTCGGGGAGGAAGGGCAGGGATTCCCAAAGGGCTTCAAAAGATTCTCGCTTGAGGCCAGAAGTATCGCCGCGCAGGGAGTCGTCCCATGCAGCAACTAGGGCTCATATGCATGACGTCCATCACATTAAATTGCAGCCACAAATGGGTGACAGTAGTAGGTACTCACCTCACTATGCTACGGATAATCCTGAGGGCGGAGGGCTTGATAAACCAGCAACTAGCCCTCATGTCAGGTGCCGAGTGGACATTAAACCAGATGATGCAGCGCTACATCATTCTGGACGGAAACAAGCTACACCTCATGTGGACATACCCTGGCAGAGGCACCACAGTGGGGGGAGTAGGAGTATGACTGTGCCACGCCATTTCTCTTACTCAAGAACAACAACTCCGACTGATTCGTTAGGTCGAGAGGGTAGGCAAGCTTATCAATATTCCCGCAGCATGCCCAATAGTTACTTACAACCCATGGAGAGTCCCTTGCAAAGAACAACTTCGTCAGGCGAATACTATGGTAGGGAACGCAGAGCTCATTCAAGTCCTAATGTGCCAACCAAGTTATTTTATGCAGATGACCCAGGGAGATATGTCGCTTCTGCTCCACCTCAGCCAAGTTCTCGCTTTCATGATGAACGTTACACACCTGGACAAACAAATACTACAAAAGTGCAATATGTGCAAGATCCAAGGACTCGAATGGTGCACGCTGTAGCAACAAGACCCTATTACCCTGAGATGGAACCCTATCAATACTCTGTGCAGTCCGGGTATCCCAAACCCTACGCACCCAATGAACCAGGGCCATACATCATACAGACACCTCCAACAAGAATATTTTATGGGGATGATCCAAGGTCTTATCAAATCCAGACAGCTCCACCAAGGTTTTATTATTCCAGCGACATGTACGCAATGCCCCCAGAGCATCATGTCCCAGCAAGGGCGTATTACACCGAGGGCCGAAGACATGCTCGAGTGATTCAGGCACAAACAGAGGACTGGTATGGCTCAGATGCTTCTGGTTATTCCACCAACCCTGCCTCTTATGTATCTCAAGTCACTCCAACCAGAGTTCGTCCAGAGCCTGCGCCCGCACCCTGGTACGCCAACCCATGTGTAGAACCTCCAAGAATTGGCACAGAATCAAAATCTTACTCAAGGTCATGGGACAATATTCTCGACTCTCGTGTAGAGCGAGAACAACCTATTCCTGTACAGCGGGGTCAAAGCTATGATGATCTTCTTGACTCCAGGAAGCCTGCAGCAGCCACCGGGGACAAACCGCAACCCGTGGTAGTCAATCTTTCCAGTTCTCCAAGACGTTATGCGGCCTTATCCATGTCTGATAACTCACTCGTTGACAAAAGCCCAACCGAGACATCAAAGGGCAGTACTAGTAAACTCTGGTTTGTAACTCCTGAGATAACAATCACTGATAATGACATGCGACCGGGGAAACTTAATAAGGCTGAAGGACGGTCTGCCAGTTGGGACGTTCTTGACTCCAGAAGCACAGAAGATCAAGGACTGTGTCAGCGTGACTTTGACAGCTCAACCAAAGAGAAGACACACGACAATGCCTCACTACAACAAAGCCTTGAACAACTTGATGAGCTTCTGGCAGATCTTGTGACTGATTACAAGCCACCCAGTAGAAGGGCAAGTGAGGACATTCTTGAACAATTAAAGAAGTTAATTGATGAGGAGGAAGCAGTATCTCTGTCCAGAAAGAGCTCGAGGGCATTTACAAATGAACCACCTCCTCTTGACAAGCAGCCAACGTCAATAAGAATTAATCCTGATTCTTTCCATGACATCGGGGGCAGTGATGCTATGAAGAGTGCAGATGAGTGCTCCCCAGATCAGAGCCCAGATGAGGATGATACAATGATGTGCTCTAATAACAAATGCAGGAGGACGGAGACCCTCTTCAATGCTTGCCTGTATTTCAAATCCTGCCATAGCTGCTACACCTACTACTGCTCTCGTAATTGTCGCAGGGAAGACTGGGACATTCATAAAGCAAACTGCCTGTATGGAAGAATGGGAAGCATATGTCGTCACATCATCAAACACTGCCGGGAGACTGTTGAAGTCCACAAAGCCTTCTCCCGTATTGCCAAAGTTGGCTACCTTTCACGAGGTAGAGGAGTTCTTTTCCTTGGTTTTCCAAATCCTGCATCATCAAGTAACTTCCTACAGTATGGCCTGGATACTCTTCCAATGTCTCCTACATACCTATCCCTCCGAGAGCTTGAAAGCTTCAAGGACAACCTAGGGGAGTACTGTAAGGAGCTTCAGGAAGCTGGGAAAGAGTACGACCCTAACGAATGTTTCATCTTGAATGTATCCATTGCCGTTGGTGACCAAATGCCCGAGGGGCCATCACCACGGAACGAAGCTCCAACCGTCAGAAAATATGCAAAGGTAGCCCTGGCTTCCTTTAGCCCTGAGAGAAAGGTTCACAAGAAAGAGACGGACATGGAAACGCTGATCCTCACTCCACCCCCTGGAACAGCAGACATCGACAAAGAGGGAGAGGAAGGCAGGAAGGCTAGGGAAATCTGTTTTATTAATATACAACGGGAGTTAAGGATCAGAGGGGTTTTCCTACGCCATGAATTCCCACAGGTGTATCAACAGCTCTGTGAGTTTGTGGAAAATAACAGAAGGTTCACACCCACGACCATTTATCCGATTGATAAGAGGACCGGTAAACAGTTCATGTGCATGATAATGGCTGCCTCTGAGCCCCGGACATTGGACTGGGTGGGCACCCCGCATCTCCTCGATGACATCATTTAAGTGCACCTTTTGTTGTAAATATATATGTATAGAAATACATATATATTGTTACACATATTTATATATCAATCCAATTACAAACGTTTGTAAATAAGTATTTTGTTATCAAAATGATATATATTCATGTCTCCTTGGTCAGTATTATTCTTTTTCAGAATATTTCCTGTCAGGTGCAGAATGAGTACCGAACATTATTTATTTTAATCTTTTTACCAAGTACATCTTTTTTATCCACCACATGTTATTGATCTGTATCCTGGTCATTTACTGTTACAACACATTCCCATTAGTAGGGGTTACCTGCTGACATGGTATTTCATTTAGCTAATTATTAGCAACAACTGTATGTTTTTAATCTTACCCTCTTTATATGAGCCAGTTTCTGTGTGTGAGTATAACATGACTATTTTTCATATGCAACTTTAATGGTATATCATGCAGAAAATATTAAACGTTATTTTCTTAGCCACGTAAATACTTTCTATGCAAAGTTGCTTCATGACTTAAGTACCAGATTCCTGTAGAATGAGTTGTTTCTGTTATATGACATAATATTATACACATCTGTAAAGAAAGTTTTGCTAAAATTGAGATCAAGTGTTGGTGGCAACATAAATCAAAAGAAAATAATGAAAACTGAAAAAAACAGTTGTGCAACTTGAAAAAAAAAAAAGGCACGAAATCTAATTGTCGCTTAGGTAGAAGTGCTACTAAAAGTTAACGTTTTACTTTTATGGCATACTCTGGAGAGTTCACGCTAAACTCGGTGGTTCTGTGGTTCTGAATCACTGGAGCGCTGCTGGACTTGAGAGAAACCTCCACAAAGGAAACTGAAATGGTGCCAGTTCAGCCACACAGTAGGTGTTGGCCTGTGTTCAGTTTTAAACACTGTGAATAGTGAGAGTTACAAAAATAAAAGATCATGCAATTTCCTATAACACTGATGTTATGGCGAGTTGTATTTTTTAGATATGTTTACAAATAAAAAATATATGAATTAGCAAAAGGAGTTATTGTCCTTAGAACAAGGTGAGCCAGATGTGGCCCAGTAGCTATATGGTGCATAAATGCTTGAAAAAGACATTAGTTGTGTATTTGTGCTGCACTAGGTTTATGACGTGTGATTTATATTGTCCTTTTTGGGTTTAGCAAATGAGAACCTGTGCATTTCTCATTGGTTGCAGACGTTTTAGAAAGATTTATAAATGAAACTTAGCCGTGTTGCCTCATCTAAAGACACAGTACATTTCTTAATTTTGTTTTGGTAGCATCCTCAATCCCTTATTTCCTTCCAGCACACCGATGAGGGCTTGAATCTTACAGTTCTTTGATCAGTGTTTCACTATTGGCGATCCCCCATAGTAAACACTTTACTCTTGTCAAAGAACCGTGGTTACGTTAAAGGTGGGGTAGGTAATTCCCTTCAGAAACACTTTTTGTTATATTCCATGGAATGCTCTTAACATCCCGATAGCAATGAATATCTTAAATGCTTTGACAATAAATACATAAGAAAATATCATCTGTGGAAGCCGTGGCGCTGTAAAAATCACGACCAATCATCTGAGCCGGCCCGGCTAAAGTAACTGGATGGCCTACCTGCCTGTCAGCCTTCCATCTGTGCACAAACTTATCTCGTGCCCTCATTGGTCATGTGCGCGTTTGTGGTTGTGTTGGGGCTCTGGAAGGAAGTCTGAAGGAAGAGGCAGATTTTTTCCGGTTGTGTATTTTCAAATTCTAGCGCACTCGAGCTGGTTTCTCCATTCTTACGGCCCGTCCACACGGCGGCGTGTGTTGAAGCTTCAACGCTTCTGCCCATTCACTTTTTGAATGGGGTGACGTCATGCTTTGCCGAACTGCATTGTGGGAGCGTCGTTTCGCGTTGCTCGCTTCAAAAGTTGAGCAATGTTCAACTTTTGAAGCTTCGACGGAAGCGTCAGCCAATCAAATCATATGCCAGTATAA